CAACATGACAAAGACGATGTACAGTTATGTTTCAGTTATTTGTTTGGATAAGTCTTGTTCTTATGTACATCGTCTTTGTCATGTTGTATTGATAATGTTATAATTTATGAATATGTCCTGAAGATGGTTTATTAGACCGAAACGTCCGACGTTGACATATTAACATTAAAACAGCATAATTGTATATAAGGATTTTTGTTTGTTTTTTCCGTATATATTTTTCTTCATATATATATATATATATATATATATATCATAATTAATTCATGGGATCAATGTATGTGTGACGTAATACGTAAATGGTAGTGAGTGTGTTGTTGTAGGATACAGGGGAATAAGATGTGAAACTGATGGCTATTGTGCCTAAGGAGATGACTCGCACTATCGTCGAAGTGGTAATATCTCAAGACTTTGTTTCCGTAACATTAGTATGAGCCTACTAGAAACACGTGAATTTTAGACAAACATTCTCAAGATGTGGAAATATCAAACGAATGATGTCACATCATATATTCCAATTCAATGATCGTGCTATTCCACCCATCAGTCAATACAATGCACAACATACAAAGTATTTAATTGGGTTTCTTAGTTTTTGATCAGGAACGATGTCAATCACTAGTCAACACCAAATTAATTGTGTAAATTCTTTTAGCTGATTAAGGACAATTTTGATGAGCTGAATCCAAAAATCACATTGGTGTTGCTTAATCAGGTCAACATTTTGAGTGATGGCCATATGCTACTTTTTACGTTTTTGTTTACATTGTCATGTCTATTAAAATATCTAAATATGCAACATATTTCACACAATAAAACTAATAATTATGTTAATTATAAACTGATTAATTTTAACCTATCCAAAGTATTTTCAGCCAAAAATAGGTACATAAATATTAGAAAACGCCTCCAAAATATTTATAAACCAATACCACGCAATAAAGTGCTTATATTTCAAAACACCAATTAAAGTATTTAATAGAAAATCATAGAATACAAATCAGAAAGATTGTTTTATTAGTGATTATAATTTAGTTATACCGTGCGTACATAGTACTAAGCATACCACCTGACTTTTAGGGCCAATTAGGAATAAGTAAAATTGTTTAATTCAGAAAACAATTTCTCAGGAATAACCGTATAAAAATCAGGATGTTTAACCTCAACGACAGAATCTCACATTCTACTAAGGGCCATGCCATTCTAACTGCTTATATTAAAGACCTCATTCGCTTCCACACACAAGAAACGACGCAGTAGAATTGACCAACAAGGAAATATGAAGTGGTGAAGTATGTGCTGGAGGAAATTATGATTAGCATGAGCGGTTTTTTTGCGTTGACCTGAAGATGATAAACTATTTGTTGAGACAACAATCCGAGTTCACCAAGAACCCATGCTTTCTTTGCATGTGGTATAGTAGGGACACTATTCAGAATTACAGGACAAAGGAGTGGCAAGTTCGGGAGGAATTGATGCCATGCAAAGCAACGAATGTCATCAATAAGCCTCTGTTGGACAGAGACAGGATACCTATCGTTTTCCCATCGCTGCATATCAAGCTCGACCAAGCAGTTTGCCAAAGCTCTGGACAAGGATGATGGCTGCTTCCCTTACAGGTTTTTTCAGGATTCACAGCGTGAAGTTGAAAGCTGGAATCTTTGATGGTCTTCAAATCTGTCCTCATCAGAGATCCATAGCTCACCGAAAGCACTACTTCAATATCTATCGTAAGGAGTAATGTAGTTCACTTCACACTGCATCCAAAACTGCCCGCAATCGCCACAAAATGTTCTAGAAAACGCTAAGCGCAGCTACGCACGAGTAGTCCAGACCAAGGATGAAAAGAAAAGAAATTGGATCCCGTGAACTCTGGAAAATCACCAACCAAATCATGAATGGAGGTGCCCACAATTATAAATGTTGTCACATTTGGGCGGGAGCTACCCAGACCTCACGTCTCTTGTGGGTGACGAACTATTCCCTACTTTTCAACCTCTCGTTGCTCTATTGCTACTTCCATGGAAAGTGCTCGGACGAACTACATTCTTTGGTCCCGCCAATCAAACATTCACATCAAGAACATGACATGCCACTTACATAGTAGCAAACCACCCACATTCACCTCGTTCCACTCTTCCTGCGAACTCCCCTGTGGAATCGATTCCCAACAGAATATTTCCCCGGTCGCTACAATCTTAACCTGTTCAAGGCTAGGGGTAACAAAAGGCCTCCTAGCATAACCCTCTACCTCGTGTGGCTCCCGGGCCTTGTAAAGGGTATGAACCTTACTGTAAAAAAAGAACAAATTACTGCGCCTCAACTGGACCAATGTTACCATTATCGAACCGTGAAAAACAAGTTTCATATTCTTTTAGGCGTACGACACAGTTCGTGTGTAGAATGAACTGAAGGAGGTCAATGATCCAGCCTGTCAACAGATGAAGATGACTTTGTAATAAGGTGGTGTTGTGTTGCAAATATACTAAAGAATCTGGAGTTTGTTGAGCATTTGCATTCGTTTACGCACTACCATGTTTTGCAGGTGACGTTAGCTTGTTCCAATGACCCATTGGGCACAGCTAACACGAAAATGGATCTTGGAACACTCAACTGGAATCCCCAAGCAAGGCACTATGTATGAATAAACAGGTGTTCTGATTTTAGTACCAATTCAGCTAAGTGAGAGAAAAGTAAGTTCAGTAAGTGAGAGAAAGTAAGTTTTTCCTTTTCTCTTTTTTTCTGGCATGATTATCAGGCATTTTCTAAATGTTCTGCATGCTGATAACATGTAGAATTCACTTTCCTGACAAATCAATCTTGATGTGATTCGAAGTCGGATCTTATGCCGAAATATCGAATGTTTTAACCACTCAGATACTCTCGCATAAGGAACATTAAATGGAGGTTAAAATAACTCAACAATGGGGAAATAAACATTTTGAAGATAGAAATGTAATAAGACATGGAGACCAAATTCAACCCAATTTGGTTGAGTTTATTGGCACCTCAAGTTCCTAGAACCGATGAAATCCCTAAAGTTCCTATTGACTCTCTGCTATGTAGACCTCTCTGCCAAAGTACATTGGAGGTTCAGCTGTTCCTGAAGCATGTACGTCAACTTTTAGATATCATCCTATCATCAAGTGTGATAACTATACGTGTGGGAGAAACAAACATTGACTGGAGATGTTGTTTTATGGATTGAGTTGGTATTTGCTCTTGGACAGATAGTGTTATATATCCTCACTTTTGGGAGAATCCTGACAGGGGAGAGCACTGCAGATCATGAAAAAAAAACCACCAAAAAACTGTGTTTCTAGGTGAGACCCTTTCTGTAAAGCCAGTTGTTTTATATATAAAAGTAAATAAACTTCATATCTGACTAGTCTGCCTAAAATGGTTAATATTTTAGTTTTATTAATGACATGAACACACAAGAAAAAGAAACAATATCAACTAAGTTTATTTCTTTATTACTTGAATATTGATTCCCTTTGTGCAATGTTTTCCGGACAATTAGAGACAAGAGTAATTGTTTCACTTTAACAGCAGGTACAGTTTGGGCGAATGTAACTCAATAGGAAATGTTAAACAATATATATATATATATATATATATATATATATATATATATATATATATATATATATATATATATATATATATTGTTTAACATTTCCTATTGAGTTACATATATATATATACGCTTGTATATCTCTCATAATTTCCTAGCCTATGCAATTAGTAGCCTAAAAATACTATCTGGGGTAAGAAATGACCTGGGGTAAGAAATGACCTGCTAATTTTAACGCCTCTAAGACTACCCACGTTTAATCTTTCTGCCCTCCATCAGTATGGCTGATTCTAACCTCCATTAGAGTGACTTCTTGCGCCTTCTCGGGTTAGGTTGTCCCACTGATATAAAGTGGAAATATTATATTGAATCAATTACTACATCTATCAGAAACTATATTGCACATTTATTGGTTTACCATTCATACCTGCATTGAAAATTGCTGCCACATCTGGCTTGGGAAAGCATTATTAATAAAAAAAAAGGGTTAACACTTGGTAACATCAACTATGAACACAGCCATAATGTGCTGACCGTGTTTAGAAGATAAAACATTTCAGTAACTCTAGATAAGCACATAAAATAATTCACACATTCAGTTAAAAGTAAAATAAAATCATTTTTGATAATGACGAAATGTATAGCCGAAAGCGCTTGGGCATATAAATTTGTTCGGACAATTTCTACATAATTTATGTCGAGAAAAGAAGAAAATTATAAGAACACAAGAAAAATTAAATAAAAATGTTAGCCCCAGTAGATGCTCAGTCGTTTTAATGAAACTTGTATAAAAGAAGGATTGCTGCCCAAGTGCAGAAATTATATAAAAAAATTACATAACTTACCTAGCTTGCATAACGAGTAAATATTTTGAAAAACTTTATTCATTATTCCTTCACAGATACAATCTATCTGAAAATAATTTACACACACACACACAATCACACACACATACACCGACACACACACACACACGCATATATATATATATATATATATATATATATATATATATTTTACTTGTGAATTTGTATTCCTTGTGAAACAAATGCGTCTGTAATTATTACATGTACGCAAGTTATGTTTGTCGGAATGTGACAGTATATGCCTGTTTCACCACCAAGGGTTTAGCTTAGCATGTCTACGCACCTAAAGCTTAATTCTCTATCCGTACGCAGGTATCTACATGTACTGTTTGGCCGCCGCGTCTCGTTGGCCGGCCCCCACTTTTCTTAGTTCGTTGAGTGAAGCTTAATGTCTGTATACGGTTTCCAATTATGTCGGCTCCGTAGCGTCGACTGGCGCCAACGGACCTGGATGTTACACACTCCAAACAAGTCGGCTTTGTATTGTAAACACGTGTGAACCGCAAGTGAGGGTCGCGACATCTACATAGAGTGGCTCCTGGCGCATACCGAACATATCAGGAGTTGTAGTGAGGGGGGGTGTAGAAAAGGCGAGAGACAAACAAACATAAAGAGAGGAAGATAGAGAAAGAAAGCAGAGAATGGTTAATAAGAGGAGAAAGGCTAAAGAGGTGTTGGGAGAGGGAATGAAGGGAGCAAGGGAGGAAGAAAGAAAGAGATGCTGATGAGGAATGAAAAAAGAGCAAGGAAAGAAGAAAGGAGGAAAGAGTGTAAAAATGGAAGCCAGGAAGAAAAAAAAATGAAGTGAAGGAGTTAAAGAAGATTGTAGAGCAAAGAAGAAAAAAGAATAAGCAAATGAGGAAAAGAAAGTTAAATGGGAAATTGAGAAAGAAAGTTACGGAAAAAGGGAAAAAAAGTTTGTAAAAAAATAAATTAATATAACAGAAACTAAACAAAGACTGAATCACTGCCACCTTTTGGATGCAGAATAATTCCCGATATATATATATATATATTTATATATATATATATATATATATATATATAGATAGATAGATAGATAGATAGATAGATAGATAGATGGAGAGAGGGAAGAGAGGAAGGGAGAAAGTGAGAGGTAACATGGTAAAATTAAAACAATAGAAACCAGAAGAAAGCAAAAACAGAAAAGGAAGAAGAAAAAGAAATCAAAAAGAAATTTAAAAGAGGAAACGGAAGAAAGAAATGAGTAGAAAGAGTAAGGGGAAATTATTGAAGAGAAAAAGGTTGTGAAAAAATGTGAACACGAAGAAGAAAACGTGAAAAATATACACAGAGAGTGAAAAAGAGAGGTGGAAGAGAGGGAGAGACTAGGAAGTAAAAATACATTTTATGATCATGTGGTTAAGTTAAAAGTTGAATTACTATTGTTGGCCTTATCTCATTCTAATTTCGAACTGGCCAACAATAAGCGCTGCCTTTTAGAATTTGTTTATCTGAAGTACACATCGTTACGTAACGAATGTGTCATTATTTCTCTCACTTAAAAAAATAATTAAAATATTTTCAAAGTAATTTTATTTAATATTAATTTATTGGTGGCAGTAAGTGTTATGATGAAGAGTTTCGGCTTGACCCACTTCCCTAAATATGACCAAATCCAAATAACAAGATATCAAAATGTTATATTAGGAATCCCTTGATGGTTGAGGCGAGAGCTTTTTAACACCCGTCTGTATTTACGCAGAAATGAGGAAAAATAATGGGGAAAGGGAAAGAAGAACAGAAAAAAAAAGATTGTAAGAAGAAAACAATGCGAAATATGCGGATGAAAAGAAGAGAAAATGTGAACGAAGAAGAAGAAGAAGATGAAGAAGAAGAAGAAGAAGAAGAGGAGGAGGTTGCAGGAAGCAGGAGGAGAAGATGCTGGGGAAGAGGAAGATATGAAAGAACACAAGAAAAATAAGTGTTAGATTGTAAGCGAATTAGAAAGAAACAAGTAAAGAGGAAAGAAAATACAAGTTAAAAGAAGAAACAATTGATAAAGACAAAAGCGTGTAAAAGAAGAAAACAAAACAGAGTTTTGAGAAGGGAAGAGAAGGAAAGAGAATTATAAAAATAATTAGAAAGTAACGAAGAAATAGCGAGAAGAGATGAATGAAAAGAAAAATGTATACCTTGTTACATTTTGTTACGCAAGTCAATACTTTCACAATAAAAGTGGTATTAACTAATGTTGGATATACTTACATTTTTACGAGCATTTCTATCGTGTGACTTTCAGATTATAATATCTATCCCCAGTAACAATTTTTGTAAGAACTTGTTTTATGGTGGTAGATAGTTTTTTATGATGCAAACTAAGTGCAACGTATTTTTTTCATGTATCAATAATCCCAAAGTTACAAGCCTATAAGGAAACTATATTTGATGATAACAAGAACTCATGAATAAATTATTTATTTTGCATTTTTAATATTGGGCCAATGTCATTGTTTAACCTTCGGGGGTTTTATATATTATTTTTCGGTTTTAATAAAATTCATTTTATTTTATTTATTTTCTAAAATTACTTGCATCAACATTTATTGCTTCTCAAATATCTACTTTCTTAAATGTTGCTTTCCATTTTCATATAAATATCTGTTTTAATGGTGAACCATATGTTTGCAAGGTGGACAATATTAGAGTTATTAGACACTTTAGCGTAAAGCTTCTTAACTGTGATTTATAGAAATGTTTTAGTTAAAAGTGTGCAATAATTATCTACGATTATCTTGATATCATCATCCACTTTGAAGGGACCTAGAATTTTACTGCCTCAAATACCAGGGCATTACTCCGCCTCTTTGTCTTTTGACTCGATTGGGTGAATTATTTTCATGAAAGACCCATCTGGTCCATTCATTGTAGCTCTACATTTATTACTAACAGTTACTGTTAAGTCTCTATGTACATTTCATTTAACTTACATGATTTTTGTTTATTATTTTTTACAATATCTCGCTATTTTGATGTTATATATTTCAGTTATCCCTTGAAAATATTCATATTTGTGAAATAAAAATAAATACCAATAATTACACAATGTATATATTTATTGACAATATAATATACGAGGAGATGTATAATGAAATGTCACACCACCAAATCAGTAATCTATAAGCTGGAATTCATCTGATATATTTTCCCACATGAATATATATATATATATATATATATATATATATATATATATATATATATATATATATACATATGTATATATATAAAAAAAATTAACCGAAATCGTTTTGGTAATACCAATTTTATTGCGAAAATATGGATTTGCTTTATAAGGTCTAATAAAGATTTCCCCCTTTTTAAACTAAAGTGTTCACCCAATACAAAATTCAAGAGCATTTCATTGTAGAGCTTAATGTGCGATATGGAGGTAAAAGGGGTGGGGGGCTAGAAAGAATTGAAGACTATATGAACAAAAAGGATTGATAGATAACGATAGACTTGACGAGGTTAAGATCGTAGTACATGGAAGTATCTAAGCGGGAATTTCTTCTACAAAGTAGCAGTTCCCGGGAAAAAAAAACCTGTTTGAGTGTAACTTTATCCTTATAGTTGGAATACGGAAGAAATACGGTTGATTTGACTGGTGGAACTAATGCGTGGAAATCGTCTGAACGTGGAAATAGGAATTGAGTAGCGATAGGTTTGCAACATTGCGACTGTGAAGAAATAGGCTGTAGAGTGGAAAATATGCCATCATCATAAGACCGCGTAAACGATTTTAACTTTATCAATGCTCGGAAGTATGTATTGTGTAGCGCTAGTTTCGAAAAGTGCCGAGAAGTAAAAAAAGAGAAAAAATAGCCCATCAGAGGATACGATGAAAATAAAAATTGAAAGGAGAGGGAATGGTGAGGAATAGATGGTTTTGAGGAATAGGTGATGACAGAAAGATTTTAAAAGAAAGAAATAGAGAGTAGAAAAGTGATACGAAGAGAAAGAATGCTAAAAAAGAGAAAACAATATCTAAAAGAGAGGAAAAGCAAAAAAAAAAAAAAGAAAAAAAAAAGCAAGACAAATTGATGTTAAAATAAAAAAAAACTGCAAAATAAGAATGGACAATTTGTGATAACTGAATTTCACATTTGTTTAGGCTTACATATTTGGTGCAACATATTCTTACAATCTCTACCAAGGTAGATACATATGTGTGCTTGTGTGATAGTTTGGATGCATATTTGTAAAGGGTTTATTCGCAGGTTATATTTTTTCACCTTTCATTGCAGATCGTATCGCAGCTTGATAAGTGAAAGGGAAATTCATTTTAAGAAAATCGAAACCAAATCACGACAAAGACAAAATAATCCTAAGAAAAGCGAAACGAGGAATTTCTGGAATCAGTCGCCTTTGTGAATTGCTCGTGTGTAGCGGGGAACGTTAGCAACTAGCAACAAAGGGTATAAACTGTTGTTTTCTCTTCTACCGTATCTGCGTTTCCTACTCTTACTAAAAAGATGAGGCTGCACTCCGTTAATGGCTATGGAAGGTAGAGATTACACCAGAAAGATCACTAAAGAAATGTCATATCTATAAACTATATTCATTAGAGTAAATTGCATTTTTGGTCATTGATTTGATAGTTTGAACTTCAACAGTTGGTGAAGAATTAAAGACAGTCATTGCAAGCAACAAAAATAAAAATAATGTCCAACTGCAAAAAGAGCTTTAGCACGCAATCGGTATTTAAAATCTTGGTGTCTCACTTACAAAGACATGCAAAATAAAATTACATAATTACTTCGCCGACTGGCTCCACACGAGGCGTAGCTTAGAGCACCTGGTATTCCCGGGCAGTCATCCACCTGAGTACTGACCAGTATTGATAAGTTGCTTAACTTCGATGATTAGACAAAAAACGGTATTTCAACATGATATGCGCATAAGCGTTAAGAAGTCTGAATAAGAACAGTGAAAGTGTGTTGCTCACATTTGTGAGTAAACATTCAATTTGAACATATGTTCAGTTAACATTAAAATATCTCGCCACCTTTTTTCATTTCTGTCAAGTAAGCGCTACTTTAACAGCCATAGGTGTAAATTAGAATTGATTTTTGGTTTGTCGAAAGTAAAATTACATGAGTTCGTAGAGGGGAGAATCTTATGACAGGTAAAGCGATTTACCTGATCACCCCCACTGAGTCAGGTTGTGACACAAGGTCGGTTTTTAACGTGGTGACCTGAGTGTTTCCACTCGGGCCGCTGGTCTAAGCTGGGCTTAGCTGATCATAGCGTCTCCAAGCTGGTCAGAGCGCGTCCGAGGCAGTCATGACCATGATATCACCTGTGTCAGGTAAGTATCCACTTATGACAGGTAAAAATGCTATTAAATCTTTACGGTTAAGAATTATCTGAATTGGCAAAGGGAAGAATGATATTGATTGGCCATGTTTGGTATATCTGAATTGTTAGAGAATAAAATGATCTTGACAGGTAGAGGGAGAATGATTTTCTTTCTTAAAAGGAATAATTATCTGATTTGTTAGAGAGTAGTATGATCTTGATTAACGACGGTAGAATGATTTTGAGTGGTTTAGGTTCGAAACATTTGAAAGAGATGAAGGCAGGAATATCGTAGAACATTAACTGTCTGAATTAACAGCGGATTAAATGATCTTGTTCAGTCTGTGACGCTATAATGATATTTATGGCTGAATTGGAAAATTTGAATTAACCTATTCTTGGAGACACTGCCTCCGGTTTTTCTGATCAGATATAATTTGCCTTGTTTCTTTCGACACAGCCTCTTGTAGTGATACTTTGCTACGTAACAGCCATTTGTTTCGAGCTTTCGGGTGCATGTAAATGCTATAAAAATGATGATATTCATGCAAACATCGGTGATTAGACTTAATTTGTCATTACTTTAAATGGTGGATTAGGAAATGGTGATGGTGAGAAAGAAAGAATGACTTACGCCTGAATTAAATGCACGAAAAAAATGTTGGCCTGCTTAGGAAATCAACATCCAAAATTATATTGTCTTATTTGAGCTCTTCGTGTGAAATTAGCAATTATCTCATCCTTCAAGTGCACTCAGTTATGTGATGGTTAACAAGTTATGCGCCGGTCTAGTTAATATAAATTTTACTAGCCGCACTAGAACAATATCCTTGTGTTAGAGTAAAGAAATATTATTAAAAAAAAATAAGATCGTTTTGCGGTTGAGATTTTTCATTGGTCGGTATTCGAACCCAAACAGCATTTCTTCCAGTCCCGATCTCAGCTGCCGAGCACACTCGAAAATTAAATATAAAATAAATGCAGAAATATTTAAGATTACTTGCACATTGAAATATTTGGATTTTTACATGTCGAACCGTAATCACTTTGCTTATGTGAGACACAATGACGTGCTGAGTTGACTGACTTTTAGCTGTCGTTTTTTTAGTTGAAGCTATTGATCTTTACTCTTTCCGGGAATAAAGCGCAATATACATTACACGTAAAGAGTAGTGTAACTGATACGTGATCCTTCTGGCGGAAGGTACGATCTTATATCGAAGCGAAGATCTCTGTTGCCTAAAGCAGTTATGCCGGTGGCGACATAAAATGCAGGGATTGGTGTCCTCTCAGAATGCGATGAGATGATTCAAAACACCAGAGGGTATCGGTCATGCAAGGAGATCGCTAAATAGGGCAGACTGTTCTTTGTACAATAAATACAGGTTTCATTTTGAATTTAAGTGGATTAGAGGGAGATGAAATATCAAAGAGAGAATGAATGAAAAAAAAAACAACACTTTTTTTTATCTGCACTGACAACTATTAGAAAGAAATCTCTATCATTTTTGAGAGATTGCAGATGAATAATATACCTAAAGGAATTAAAGAATTTACCATAGCCCTTAGTGGTGTTAACTTTCTTTCGGTTGCTTGCCGTGATAAAATCAGGAGGTTAAAACAAACGCCTGTATAAACGACTAAAACACCTAAAATTTGCTTGTCGCTAACGGACAGAATAATCAATGTGGCAATAACTAACATTAAGTAATTTATGAAGTTTTTAAAGGATTTAGTTTTGCTGTAGTTTCTTTTTCTTTTTGATTCAGAAACATTCTTTTTCCTTTTCGTTTTTAAAGTCATTGTTTGTTCAAATTCATCTTTTATTTAATTTTTTTCTGTCCCAAAAGGCCTCTACATTCAGTTTTTCTTTTTAACGATCGTTTCCTTCTCGCTAAAAATAAAAAGTCATATTGTACAAATCTTTAAAGTTCAGAAATCTTTAGAGGAATATGTTCATCTTAAGAAATTGTTACTTGATATAGTTTTATATTCTTCTGTATTGTATTTTTGAGTTCGCTTCTTTAAAAATTAAGGACATGTCATATCCTTGATATCTGAAATGAAAAAAATTCAGATTTCAACTGCAGTCCGTAAAGAGAACTTTTTAGGCTATTTTGGAAAGTGTAAAGATGGCTACAGTAACTGTGACAGGTTCCCAAGTGGATACTTTAAAGTGGACAGAAGCGTCATCACCTAAAGGTGAATACGTTTTTGTTAAATAGCTACATTATGTTCAAATAAACCCTGCATATGGATTTTGAATGATTGCAACCCAAATTAAGTGTTTGAAAAAAAGGTGGTGATGACTGTCTGTTTATTTTGAACAAGAATTGAGGTAAGCCAATTAGTTTTGTAATTATTGAAGGTCTGTCATTAGTGATTATTTTGTTTTAATAAGAAATATTTGATTTCCCTTTGTTCATAAAAGATCAGCTGCTGTCGCTGGAGTAAGTGAGTAGATGCATGAAGATGACAAAAGTTATCTGAGCCACGTACAGAAAGTATATACTAATCATGATTTATTCAGCGAGGTTAATTGTGTAAATGTCAACCAATCCATGAAAACACCGCGGTTGCAGCTTTTAGCTGATGATGATGTATTATCATCGTTGCAATTTAACCGCAAGGAATGATGAAAAGACGCTTTTATTTTGTTCAGTGTGAATAATTATTTGCTTTCACTTGTGTCCAGTGTTCTTTCGATGAATTTTTCATCTTGTAGCACTTACTGCTTAGACTTTCTTCACTGAGCCATTCAACTCATTGAAAGGAAGCTAGACATATGAGGAAGGCATAATGAGCGAAACATTACAAAATAATGAAATTGGCGATACAAAACTGAGAGACTTATTGCGTTATATTATCAACAGTCGTTCTTAAAAAACAAACAGGCATAAAATCCTATCAATGCTTAGTAACTGATACAATAACAAACAAATAATTAGAATGAATGACAACACATCTACTGACCACTCAAAAAGAAATGAGTAAAATTTAATTGTTTAACAAAATATTGATATATGTTAACCAAACTTTTCATGGCAAAAATATTCTATTTTCTTTTAACAATGAAGATGAAAATGTTGAAGCCTTTCTTGGTAGTTATCTTAACGCCTTTGCTTCGAGCGATGCAACCATTTCTATTTTGACATGTCATTGTCGTCGTCACAAAATGATAAGCCAAAACAAAATTTTCCTGTTTTCTAAAACGTCACTAAGGAGAATGTTGTTCGATAGTTGCTCGCTCATTCAAGCACTCCGAACCACGTTAGCACATTACTCTTAATACAGAAATCGGTCTACAGTCGTCAAGAAGAATTATGTAATACAGCGGCTATATAAATTTTTTTGGTACGATCTACAGGAAATAAGTTTCAGCGATCTCTTGTTATGTTGTTGATTGACTGAAGAAAATCTTGGAAATAACGTTTTTGCTGAACCATCTTAATCTGCTCATTTTAAGAAGGTTATGACTTTTGCCGCTGAAATCTATTTGTGCACAAATAAAACAAAGTGTTTCCACAGACTAATATAAGTGGCATTTGATAACTAAAAATTGGAACAGTTTTCTCCGAGATAAATTTAGAAGCAGGAAGAAATTCTTTATGCTCACGTATATTTGGAACCAGTCTTGGACAAATCTAGATGGTTGGAGAATGATA